ATATACATATATATATATATCAAAATATATTTGATAGCATCATCATCACCTGACATAATTTAACATTATTTATCTCTATAATGAGAATGTGAGCTCCATGAAGGCAGAAGCTTTATCTGTCCTGTCATACTTGGTCTACACAAGAAAGCCTTGTATGAAGTATGTCCTCACTTATTGTTTAATGAATTACTGAAGGAATTTTTCCTCACTGGACAATTTATAACCCAAAGAATGGAACAAATGGAGAAGGACCATGCATATGTTAACCATGGTTTCTAAAATTGGATTTTTGTATGACTCTTTCCCAGCCATCATGGAGATGAGAACTTGAGTATTGACCAGAAGGAATCCATTTTGCAGGAACAATGCATATTCATGTCAGAAAAGCCCTATTACCAAGGCTGGGGTAAAACAGCCTGACTACTGAGGGGTGTCTCTGGAAGGCGTCTCCTAGGATGGTTCTCAATGTAGATAGCAAATGGCCCAGCAACATCACGGGGTATTCCAGAGGAGATCTAATGTCTAATGTCTGAGAGGAAGATGGCTGTCAGTGGGGGATTGTGGGGGGGACACTGCTGTGGAGCAGTGTGACATGCTAACTAAATGGAATTATACTTTATTGAGTAGTGAACAACAGTGCCCAGCTGCCTGGGAATTACATTGACAGGATGCAAAGGCAAGAGAATCTTGTATAAACTTTATTTACAGATCAATAGATAATCTTTCATACATAAAAGGTCAGCTCCAGGAAGGCAAAGCAGAAAAAGATTGCCTGCAAATAAAATATTGCTTTAACAGTCCATTCAGATGGATCTGTTGGTGCATAGTCTCCTGGTTTAAGAGCATTTCACTATTTCTAAGCTTTCGTTCTTAACTACTGTCAGGCTCCTCTGTGAAGCGTGAAGGCGTTGATGAAGAGTGCTGATTTCTAGTTGTCCCGAATTCTATGCTATCAAGGGAACAGCATGGAATGAAATCAAAGCGTAGAGCTCCAGTATAACATTTCTAAGTGTGTGTGTGCAGCAGTTAGGGTGCTCAAGTCAAGTGGCGCCTCATCTCCGCCTCCTGGTGATTTTCTGCTTTTGGTTGCTCTGTTGCTAAATATTTATCCTGGCTTACTAAAGCAAGAACCGGAATGACAACAACACTGTTAGAAACAGACAAACAGAGGCTCATCACTACTGGATTTCTTCATTCATTTTGTGCTTCACCCATCCCAAAGAATTGGTAAAATTTTTATCTCTGTTTCTTCCTGGCTGCAGAATCATAAAGCTATACGGATGGCTGCTGTGATGACAGGAATAAGCAAGGAAGGAGGGGCACAAAGATCTAACACACGTCCCTCTCCTGCTCATAACATCAATTCCAACCCTCCCGTGACTGTATTTGGAGAAAATACTTAGGAGAGGGTTACACTTTGGTGAGATGATAAGAGTGGGACCCTAATCTTATTGGGTTAGTCTCTGTAAGAAGCAACATCAGAGGCTTACTCGTGTTCATTCTTGCTTTTTTAGGTGCGTGGCCACACTCTCTGTGAGGATGAGGGGAAAGGCCATCTTCAAGCCAGGAAGAGACTTGCTACAGCGGCATAATCTTCCAGTGTCTTGATTTTGGACTTCCCAGCCTCTGTGCTTGAAATGAATCTCCTTTGTTGAATCTCCTATCTTGTGTGGTTTGCTGTGGTTACCAGGTTCTGAGTAATGCAGAATGGGAGCGTACATAGCTTCTCTGATAGAAACTTTCAGACAAGAGGACCAGCTGTGCATTTTTGCTCTGTCCTAGTGGCCTGGAAAATCTTTCTAAAGAGCAGCTGTCTGAGTCATGAAGAGGTAGGTGTATTGTTGGCTGAAGTGCTGTTGCAGGGGAGAGTTGTATCTTGTGCTGCATGCTGAAGTGGTATGCACATCTGGGGAAGGTTTAGTTTAACCAGAAGTCAAAAGGCTTAAGACATACAACTGCTGTTCTCAAGTTTCTTATGAGTTAGCCCCAGGACTCCAGATGTGAAACAATTCTGTGCTGATTATGTCATTCGTATGCACTGGGTGTTTTCCCCTTAACTTATTTTGAAACCCTAAACCACAGAATGCCATAAAAGCAGGTATAGACATGGGATTTTCTCTTCTTTTCCTATAGATTCCTATGAGGTCATGAGAAGACAAGTAGGAAGACTCCTGTCTATACCCCACGAAGAGGACCCTCTCGAAGGACTTCACCAGGGAGCACCTGATATTAGATTTAAGCTCCAGACATTGAGAAATATTAACTTGTAATTTAAGCCTACATAGGTATACTGTTTAGCATTGTGAACTGATCAAGACAACAACATTTTGCTGTGGGTTTTTTTTTTTTGAGTAGTAAAAGAGTATCTTTTGACAATGAAATGAAATCTTTCCCAATCTCTTACTAGCTATTTTTTTTTCCTCAGAAAGCAGGTTTAAAATGTTGTGAGGAATGATCTCCCTAAACACAATGTGACTGGAACCAGCTACAGCTGTCTGTCTGTCCACAGCCACAGGAACCAGGGAGGGTCAATATAGGACACAGGGATTTGATCAAATTCTCATGTTGTGTATCCATGAAGCTAGCTTTTCCCTGATACTGATTCAAGAGAACTGCTTACCTCAAAGTGAGAAAGGGCACTAAGAGGAGGCTGGATTTGACGACAAGTGACACAGATTTTTATCTTCCTCTGAAATCAAAGGCAGAACTTTGTCTTTTCTGCTGAAGGTCCCCTGGCCCCATCCCTTGTTGTACAGTGACTTCCATATGTACCTCCTCCTAGTTCATCAGGGTCCTCTTTATGAAGAACGAATGGTGCTGGCCATGATGTGTGGACCAATACCAGTCAAATTCCAGTTTATTTTCCTGATACTTAGGACCAATCTAAGCCCTTACGCACATTAGGCAAGCACTCTACAACTGAGCTCTAATTCCAACTCCCGAGTCAAATTCCAGACACTGAGTTTCAGAGTTTGGAGCTGACCTCTCCGTCCTCATTCTCTCGCTACGCTGTGCTCTGTTTGCACAGGCTATTTATTGTGGGAGGAGCTATTAAATGTGTGCATGAGGTTTTCTTCAGGAATCTATCCCCTGCGGCAGAGCTCAGACCAGAGTAGTTTGCCAATTGATCTATCCAAGGAACTCCTTTCCATCTTCGAATTCAGAAGAAATCAACCTTCTTTCTTCTCTAGAACCTTCCTGGGACTCCTGCCATAGATATGGCATGGAAGAGTAGATGGACTCTCATTTGCTGATTCTTATTCCTTAGTTCCCACTCAGAGAGCTGAGGTCCACCAATGGATCACTACCTTTTACCATAATCACTAACTCTAGTTAGTCTGGAGCAAAATTTAGGGCCAGAGAATGATATTATTGGCAGAAAATATTTATTGAATGATAGGTGAGACAGGGCCAAGGTCCTTCCATCTTGTCCCTGCTTGAGCCATCTACAGTCTGACTCACAACTGACACCCACCCCTCTTACATGCTTTCTTATGGGAAAACCCCTGAGAAAACTGCCCAACCTTGTCCCAGGGACTTGAGGTCAACCTGGTATAGTTAACTTCTGCTTTATGCTTCCACTGAACTGCTTGCTTGCTCCCCTTCCTCTCCCTGCAACTGTCAACAAGGATATGGTTTTTGCTTTTAAAAGCTCCCAACAGAAATCAGCGAGGGGCACTGCATGAGAACTGTTTCTCTCCAGCCAGTCACAGGCTGGCCTTAGAGAAATCTCAAATTTGGATGCTGGTTTTATTGAATGGTCCTTGAAATTTTTGCCCCATGTCATAGGCACAATGAAAAACTTTTTATATACTCTGGATTGATTGCAAAGGTGGCCTCAAGTGTATTTTACTATCCACACCCCCTATATCACAATTACAGTTTCTATTATCAAGAAGTGACATCTATTTCTCTCCCTCTTGAATTCGGGTTGGTTCTTTTCACTTCTGTGTCTAATAAAATGCACCAGAAGAGATGGTGTGATATTCAGGGTGTACGCCAAAGAAAAGTGGATTCTTCAGATGTCTCTTTTGTAACTCTGAGATCTCAGTGAAAATAAACCTACACTAGCACGGTGGAGATGATCCTTCCTGAGAGCATAGCTGAGTCATTCCAACCAGGACCACTGAGGGACTTGCTGACTAGCATGAGTAAGCTTAGCTGAGGTCAGGCATACCAAGTCCTGGTCAGCAGACTGATTTGATTGAACAACCAAGATAGGTAAAAAATGATAGGCGGTTGTTGCCTTAAGCCTCTATTCAGTATTGTTACATTAATAACCTATATGCATTGTTATTTCCATTCTCTTGATGAGGAAGTAACATGTGAGGTTAATTTCTTGCTTTTGATAAACAGCTAGCAAATGCACTCAGGAAGCTCGACTCCATGGTCTAGATTCTTGTCTGCTGCTTTGTAAGACCTCATCATAACACTCAAGTATCTGTCAAGCCCTTGGCCAATGTAAAAGTCATTCGAGTGTAGGAAACTGTGTCTGCTGATGGGGACAGGTTGTAAGATGGAGTTCAGACATCAGGAATCTCTCTGCTGATAAAATACCATGACAGTTATTGACCCAGATGTACAAAATAAAACAATCCGATCTCTCTGAGAAGAAAATATTTAAATGCAAAACAAGTGAGACAAACAATATCTTAGAAGTCAAGGTTGCAAAATGAAAGATAGAACAAAGTTTGATAGCATTTCATTAACCCTAAGTTATGATCTAGTTCTGTAAGAGGCCTGCCCGACAATCCTGTAAGTGTGAAAGAAAGATATCCCTCATTTGAAAATGAAAACAAAATGCAATTACATTAGTGGAATTTTCTCATTAAATAAAGTCAAACTCACTACCATCTGTCCCCCACCTTTGCTTTGGTAACTCTTGCCCATTCTTGATGAAAAAGTGATTGATTATTCCTACAGTAGCAACTGGAGATTTTGCTAAAATATGAATGCATAATTTAATAACAGAAGGAAGGCCATAATGTATGAGCTCTTACAGATATCGTAGACTGGGGAGGTTCTGGAAGGCCTCGGGATTGATGTACAGCAACGTGTTGGCCTTTTCAATTCTACTGTAAAAGAGGGAGATACTTGTAAGTGACTTGAACAGCAAGGAGTATCATGGTATTTTTCATATTATGTAGAGCCTGACAGTAAATAATCAAGTCATCCATCCATCGATCTACCCATTTATTCATCTATCCAGCTGTCATTTCAGCAAATATTGAGCAAGCATTCAGGACCCTTTATTGTATAAATGTGAGAAAATTGAGAACCAACCCTGTCCATTTAACACTCATCTCTTGGTACCCATCCTCCAGTCCTTTTTTTTTTTTTTTTTTTTTTTTTTTTTTTTTTTTTAACCATGAAGAGAGCTGAGGATTTTACTAGTAAGAATCTCCCAGAACCAGGGTGAACTAAGAAGGGGCAGGTGATACTAACATGGGGGAACTGAACTAGTGACAGCTCTGAAGCCAAGAGAAGGATGGTCAGACCAGTCAGAAAGAGTGAAAAGAAGATGAGAAAGGGTGGGAGGGCTACAGGTGAGGCAGCAAAAAGAGTAGAGAAATGGAAATGAAATGGCAAAGAAAAACAAAATCTAGAAGAAAAGCCACTTTTGACCCTGATTTAAAGCACCAAGTTCCAGCACCTGGCAGGAGGCCAGTCCCTCCTCCACCCACATTCTGTAGACTGAATTGGCTCCTCACAGCAGATGGGGAGTGGTGACTTCTTCTATCTATCAATCAATCTATCTATCTATCTATCTATCTATCTATCTATCTATCTATCTATCATCTATCTATTTTTTATTGAAAAAAATTATGCTTCCTCCCAGCCTCCCATTTCCCTCTCCCTCCTCCCACCCCACTCCCCCTGCCCCCACTCCGCTACCCCTCCCCTGGGAGTGATGACTTCTGCACAGTGGTTTTAGCCCGTGTTGTGTCCTGATCAATAGTCTGGAAGTGAGACTATTCACATTTAGATTCCCACAGAGAACCTGTCTTTTTTCTCATCTTGTGGGATCAATGTATATTTGCTGAGATACTGTTGTTAATTACTTCCTTCCTGTTTCATTAGCTTTTATGTTTCAGTAACCTGTAGCTACCCAGAGCCAAGTGCAAGGTAATTAATCATTTTAAAGACAGTTAGTGTTGTATGAGGTTGAGTGCCTCTCCATGTAAGGAAGAGATGCAAGACCTGTTTCATTAGCCCCACTGCCCACTGGATAGCAACACGGGGTGCTTCACACTGTGGCTTTGGTTCATTTCTCTGACAGTCTTTGTGGACTTTGCGGTCCTATAATGTCTCTTTTCCTAACTAGGGTAAGATTAGGGCAGGAGGAGAGAGAATAAGGAAACAAGACATTAATGAAAATGAGGTGGAATCAGGAAGGAGGCAGAATGGGTAGACAGAAGAAAAAAGGAGTTGGTCAAAATGGGCAGGTTGTGATTTCTAAATAAACTCATTAAAACACACACACACACACGCACACACACGTACATGCATGCACACACATAGACTGTACAAAATTTTCTTGGCAATCCCAAATGTATCTTAGCATTACATAGCTTTAGAGTTTTTCTACTGGTGAATGAGATTATTTCCTCTTATTTCCTAAACTTTTTTGATCATAAAATATTTTTTCTCTCTTCCTTATTGAATATCAAATAATTTCCTGCATTCATAGTCAAAGATAGAACATACTTAGAACATTCTTTGAACTGACAGTCTTGAGAGTCTCTGTGGCCTTGACATCTATCAGTCAATAAGTTATCTTCCAGTAATTAGACACTGACATAGAACATAATTAGATCTATGCATTGCATACAACTAGAATGTCAAGAGAAAGTACGTTTGTCCATACTAGTAGAACTACCAAGGGCCGTTACAATATAGCTGCTTTGCTGGTTGATATGCTAGATTGAACTGATGTTTATCATGTACTTTATTCACCACAGCAAGTCTGGGAGTGTGGATTTCATTCTGGTTTTGCAGATGAGAAACTGACATCTCAGATGGTTCTGTGTCTTGGCTGAGCCTTCATGCATATGCAGAGGCAGTTATCAGTATAGGCTTATCCAGCCTCAGTCACATTGAGTGGGATTTATTTTGGCTTTTGTGGTTGTAACATCGAATAAGGTAATTGGATGGAGGAGTTTTCCCATTGTTGTAGGACAGGGATTCTAGAGCCTGTGACATAAAACAACGAGAAGAAAACCAACTCAGGGAGTCAGCAAACACAATAAAGCTCAAGTAGAGGCTGGTGCCTGTGTGTCCAGCCAGAGACGAATGACAGTCCCTTTTAGGCTGCCTCTGATATCTTGTAATGATGATCTATGGATCTCAGGACAGAACGGAGTCAAAGCTTCCCAGGAGTACAAAAGAACTTTAGGGATTTTTATGATATCATGACCCTCTTCTGCATGCACATGCATGCACACACACACACACACACACACACACACACACACACTGTACTGTTGCTTACATTTCATGTAACTTGGGTAGGTTGGAGAACACATCTGCCTCTATTACTTCCAAGACATCATTTTGAGAGATCTCTCTGTAGCAAAAGAAAGATAACTCAGATTAGTTCAGTTTCTCTCCATAGACCTTCTAAGGACTCAACTAGAGCCTTGGGCCAAGGAGAATTCATAAGACCCCAAACCACTTTCCTTTTCTCAAGTCAGTTATAGTAATAAGTCTAAACCAACACACTAGATGCTAATACTTACAGAACAGTGGGAAAATAAATCTGAGGCAGTGGTTCATTAGGTGATTAAACATTCTTCAACTAAAGAAACTAAAGAGTAAAGGAGACTTACTCAAAGGTATTTAGGGAAACATACGGGATTGAAATAAAACTAAGTTCCTTAGGTCAGGGGTCAGCAAAGTTTCTCAGGTCCAGATAGTAATTACTTTGTGGATAGTATGTTGAAACTACTATAAAGACTGAAGATGCAAAGAACCCATAGGAAATGAATGTGTGCCATTAAAACTTTATTGAGAATGGGAATGAATCTGGCCAGTGAACTGCGATTTATTAAACCTGCTCTGTGTAGTAAGGAGGAGCGGCAGGGCTGCGTCCCCAGCACCCGGCCGCCCCCACGGCTAGCTTTACCCAAAATAATTACACGGACACTGTATTCTTTTAAACACTGCTTGGCCCTTTAGCTCTAGCACTTACAGGCTAATTCTCACATCCCGATCAACCCATCTCTAATAATCTGTGAGAATCAGTCTTACCAGGAAGATTCTAGCCTAGTCCATCCTGGGTCGGAGCTTCATGGCGTGTGTCTGCCTGGGAGCTGGGAGCATGGCGTCTCTCTCAGGCGTCTGCTCCCGAGAGAAGAGCTGTGGAGTCTGAGCTCACTTCCTCTTCCTCCCAGCATTCTGCTCTGTTTACTCCACCCACCTATGTTCTAACCTATAAGATGGGCCAAGGCAGTTTCTTTATTAGCCAATGACCTTCCTCCATCATGCTCTGGACTATGAAACCAGGTTCTCTGTTAAACTGGCTGTGGTGTGGGAGAATGTAGATGTTCATTCTTGATCTCTATTTCCCTTTTACCCTGGCTCTCCCTTGTCATTCTTGCTCTCCTCCTTATCTTAAAAATATTTTTACATTTTTGTTAGAATAATATAAGTGACATTTTCAAAATGGCAGTTTGGTATATATATAATCAGAGACATATGATGTAAATGCATATATATCATTCTTACCTCATTCCCATACCCTTCATTGTCCCTCCCCTTTTTTGAAGGTCTTCTTACTCTCTCAAAGTAGACCACTTTGTGCTTTCATAACACATATATTCTGCACCCTCACTTGTCCCTCCCTCCTGCTTTAGACATTTTCTCTCCTCTCCTGGTCTCATTTGTCCTTTCATGTCCTATAACTACACACACACACACACACACACACACACACACACACACACACAGAGAGAGAGAGAGAGAGAGAGAGAGAGAGAGATACACACACAGAGATACACAAACACAAATTTAATCTACATACTATATATGAGAGAAATCATGTGATATTTGTCTTCCTGAGTCTGATTTACTTCCCTTAGCACAATGAACTTCATTTTCTGGTGATGTCTGTATTTTCACATCACTTTTTACATTGGGCAAAATTCCATTGTATATCTGTACCACATTTCTTCATCCATTGCTGGACTCTAGACTGGTTCCTGACCTTGACTCTGAGGAACACTGTATCACTAAATATAGATGATTGAATATCTCTACTGCATGTTGACTTAGGACCTTTTAGGTATACCCCAGGAGTGAGCATCATCTCTGGATCATGCTTTATTTCTATTTTTTAGTGTATTTATATTTTTAATTCTTTTGAGGAACATACATATTGATTTCCATAGTGTTGACACCAGTTTACATGATCATAATAATGTATAAGGTTTCCATATTTTCCACATCCTTGCCAGAATTAGTTAATTGTTTTTTGAGGATAGTGATTTTGATTGGAGTGAGATGGAATATTAAATCTTTAATAATTTGAATTTCCCTGATGGTTTAAAAATTTGAATATTTAAAAATATGTATTAATAATTTGCATTTTTTTCCTTGAGAACTACCTGGTTGATTAGTCCATTCATTGACTGGAGGGTTCTTTTCTAGTTCTTGTTCAGTTTTAGATGTTAATCTTATGTCAGATGGACATGCGGCCAAATTTTCCTCCCATTTCCAGTCTCTCCTCACCCTAACCATTGTTTTCTTTGTTGTGACAACTAATTAAGTTCATGACGATTCTTTCCTTGGTGTCAGTTTTGAGGATGGCTTTGGTGCTTTTGGATTCAGTATCTTGATGTGTTTTACCTGTGTTTTCATCTAACAGTTTCAAAGTTTCAGGTCTCACATACAGATCATTAATGTTTTTTTTAGTTGAATTGATGGTTATGTGTGATATTGTGGATCTGGTTTTATTTTTTTAATCAATTACTTTAAAACTAAGCATGGATTAAAACTTGCCCTCCTCCATGATATTACTGAAGCGAAGTCTGTCTTTGACATAATGATGGTTCAGCATAATACACTCTATGTTTCAGATCCTAGCTTTTCTCCTTCTGGAGAAGTATGAAGGCTGTGGAAAATGAAGTTCACTATGCAGAAATCAGAGCCTGTGAGGAGACAGGGTGACTTGTTGCTTACGATGGGACTCACATATGAAACATGCTATCGTTAGGCTTCTCAGGAAGACTCTCATGCAGTTTTAATGCTTCAGTTGACTGTCTCAGGAAATCTCACAGGTAGCATGAATTCAAATAGACAGAGGCAGAAATGCTGTCTGCTGTCCTGGGACTTAGCTGAAGACAGTTTGCTAAGCCCTTTCCAGATTAATATAACAAGGTCACATCTGCAAACACAGCTCTGTTTTCAGAGTCTAATTTTCAGAGGTAAGGAAGCTCACACATTCTCTTAGGGCCATCTCCCTCCAGTTACATCATCACTTACCATGAGCATCACAGAAATCAAATTTTCAGCAGTGAACCCTTAGACAAGTGAGCCACATCTAAACCATAGTGTTGGGCGTTTGATTTCGTATTATATCTTTTCCTCTATCAGTCAGGCTTTTAGTCTCTAGTCACAGACTGGTATTGTTATTCTATAAACCTGTGGTAACTCAGCTCAAAATGAACAGCCCCAGGATTTCACAAATTTATATAAGCTGTAATAGTGGGAATGGTCACAACACTGCCACATCAAGTACTAACCAGACTCAATCCATCTTGGCTTCCAAGATCAGGTAAGACTGAATACATACGGCCACAGACACATTAGCATCACTCTATGACAAGCTAAAACAGTTATGCTGGATCTCTAGCTACATCTAAAATGCTCAGTTATTCCCTGGAATTCCCTCTAATAAGGGGCTGGAAAAATGACTACATGATTAAGAGCACTTTCTGCTTTTTCAGAGGACTGGAGTTTGTTTTTCAGTGCCTATGATAGGAAGCTCACACCCTCCTGTAACTCCAACTCTAGGGCATCCACCACCTTCTTCTAGCCTTTGCAAGTACCTGCATTTTCATACTCTTATCCAAGTACAGACACAGAGGCATACATAAAATTAAAAGTAATAAAAATAAAAGATACAATTTTTTAAAAAAGTTTATCTACTAGAAACATTGATTGAACCATACCTTTTCCTGAAAAAGTACTGAACGTGACCACCACTACTTTATTTTTTTTTTTAAATTTTAATTTCTTTACACTTCCTCCCCTCCTTCCATTCCCCTCCTACTCCCCCACTCACCCTCCTTCCTCCCCCTTCCTCCTTAAGAGAAAGCAGTGAACCCTACCCTGTGGGAAGTCCACCCCCCACATCCAGTCCTAGGAAGTTTTGCATCCTAATAGACAAACAGACTAGGGTCCCCAAAAGCCAGTACATGCAGTAGAAAACAAGTCCCAGTGCCTTTATCAATGGCTTCTCAGTCAGCCCCCATTTACAGCCACATTCAGAGAGTCCGGTTTGATCGCATGCTCATTCAGTCCTGGTCCAGCTGGATTTGGTGAGCTCCCATTAGAACAAGTACACTGTCTCAGTGGATGGACCAACCCCTCGCAGTCCACTCTTGCTCATCTTCTCCCTTCTTCTGCTCTTCAACTGGGCCTTGGGGGCTCAGTCCGTTGCTCTGAAGCGGGACTTTGTCTCTATCTCCATCCTTCAAACTATATTACAGAGCCACCACTACTTTAACCAAAAGAGTACAATTGCATTCTGAACTCTGTAGAGCATCTGTCCTCTTTCCCTCCTGCATCCATGCCTCATGCAGGCATATTTCCCCTTCTGTAGACAAATATTTGCTTCCTCTACAGACAGGACTTAAAAGTCAACTTTCCTTAATCCCCAATCAAATGATTTATAATCTGTGGTCACCAGGCTTTCCTTCTTTCTCAGTTATGACTGTTCTGTAGCTTCAAGGACCTCATTGTATAAAAACAATGTCTAGGAAAGTATTGGCAACGAGAAGTGTGGAGAAAGGCGCCATGATGCTTTAGTACAGCAGAACTAATACAGTCAAGGGCTTCTTGCATTTGTTGACTAGAAAAACAACAAGAGCAAAAACAATAACAAAACTCCGGAACAAATGCTTAGCCCACAGACAAGACTTCTTGTCATTTGGTAGGTTTGGTCATGGTGCCAAAGGAAAACCTTGGGCTAATCTCATCTCTGTTGCAGTTCAGTAGATGCCACACCTAAGACTGAGCTCTTCCTTTTATATTTTTCTATCTGCCCAATAGTCACTTACAGAGTGCTAAATTCATACCAAATCACTGCTAGATTTGTCAATATAGAGGCAGATGAATAAGATACTTTCCAGAAACTCAATGAAACCAGACTGGGAGACAGAATATGAGATAATAATAACAGCAAAGCAGTAGCAGAACAATGATGTGATAGTTGCTTCAAGTGCAAAAGTCTCATGAGAATTTAGGGACTAGACAAGCTGAAATGTCTATAAACTTTTTTGGGGAGTACAGATTTTTTAATCAAGAACTTCACCCCATTGAGGTGATATAATTGGATTATTCTAT